CCCAAGGCCTCATGGGGGAGGGTCTTCAGCTTCAGTCCCCAGCTGGCACCTGCCACGTGGGAGAGAGTAAGGAGCCCTGTTTAAGACGGGCTTCTCTTCCTCACTGCACCAGCCTCCTAGCAGAGTGGGGGACTGGATTTAGAAGCCGGTACCTGCTTCTATTTTTGTTTTCAGACAGATAAGAAGGTCAAAGTTTTAATGCAGAAAAATTTCATTTTAAGATGTAGAAATATCTCCATTTGCATCAAGTGCCAATACTCGCTACCTCTCTGATTTTCATAAATTATTTAATCCCTTGAAACCAGTTTCTTCATCCATAAAATGGGGATAATTTCCCACCTTTCAGACTCATTGCAAAGATTGAATGTGTGCATATTAATTAACTCACAGAAGTTGCTCAGCAAATTATGGATTCAGTTCTAACCTCCACATCATTCAGAAGCATCCATTCCTGGATATCCTACCAAAACTGCACACAACACTTTCCTCTTTATAAAGTGGTTTAGGAAGCTCGTGTGCATTGGGAGCTGGATCGGTTAACACTGTTGGCGTAAAATGATGTCTGGGACAAATGCTACACTCACCCTCCTCCACAGGCCTCCACGCTGAGTCCTTCATCACAGTCAGGCCCAAGCAGCTGCCTTTTCCAGGGATGGCTCTGAGCCAGGCATCCTGGCAGCCCCAGCCCCTTGCCAGCCAGCTCGGGCCTTAGGACACCTTCCACCCACTGAACCTTGGTTACAAGGCCACAGAGGGATGCCATGGCTGTGCCACATCACAGGCTTGCTATGAGAGCATGCATGGGCAACAGCTACTTAAACTGAAGCAGCATCAGGACCAGCGGGAGGGCTTGTTCAAATGCAGGTTCCTGGACCCACCCCAGAGGCATGTAACCGTCTGATTGAGTGGATCTGTGGTGGGGCCAGGCAACGTGCATGTCTAATTGTGTGAGGGATGCTGTTGCTGTTGGTCAGGACCACACCCAGAGTAGCAGGTGCAAAGTATGTAACATGGGACCAACACTTAGTGATCAACACATTTCCCACTTGACAAGCACTTTTATTGCTTCTATTACTACTATGACACCTTTCTCAATTATAAAGTCTGTTGGAGAAAAGACCCTGAGTCGTCTTTTCCTAGGGGTCTCTTCATCCAGGGCCCCACATGTGGCCCGACAATTTGGATTTGCAGGAGAGCATGCTCAGCATCTGCTGCTTTCCCTGGCACCTGTGGGGACTCCCTCTCTAACGTCACTTCCTGAACACCTGGTGAGCTCCATGCCACAGATCATTTTAACACCACTTTATGGATCAAGACACTGAGGCATGAAGAAGTTGCTTACCATCTGGGCCCAGGTGAAATAGGACAGAACAAAAACCACCCTGGGTTTTGTGAGTCCAGGGAGCCTGTGGATTTGTCTCACCCCTGCCTCATGTCGTCCAAACACTGAGATACTGGTTTTCTTTTTCTAAAATGGCCCTGCATGTTCCCTTGACCTCACTGAGTGGTTATTTGACAAAGTGCAAACACCATCTAATTGTCAGTGATGCAGTGAAATAGGATCTGTGATAGATGAACAAAAACTGCCGTCACACTGGTGTCAGAGATTTCCTTGTGAACAGCATTGGGACTTGGGGAGCTTTGGCTTCATCAATATTCCGTTTGCTCTATTCTGACGTCACCACTCTAGTCCCCGGCACCTCTCGGCAGCAGGAGGCATTGGTGACAATTGCAAAGGACCCCGTAGGGATGGCTCTGGGTGCTCGTCTCTCCGGTGGCCTCCTCTCTCCAGAACTCCCAGACGGCCTTGCCCGAGAAAGCACTGGTTAATGTGGTGTAATGGCTCTCAGAGTGTCTGTCCATTGCAGGTGCACACTCCCTCTGGCAGCTGCGTGCTCCCCTCCAATGCCTGCGGAGGACTGTGTGCCTGCAGACAGGCTGTAGAAGCACAAACAGCTCGCCCACAGCCTCGTGGCTGTGCTAGGGGTGGAGCAAGTCCAGGTGTGCCTAGACTCCAAGGAAAAAATGTAGGTACTGTGTATGCTGAGGACTGGGACACAGGCTGGGGCCTGGAGAAAGGCTTATGGACAGACATTCTTCAGTGCAGAACCTGCTGGCAGAAGATCCCAGAGGAGGAGAGCTTATGGACATACATGCTTCGTGTGTCTGGGGGGGCGGGTCGCCCCCTGTTCTGCAGCCAAGACCAGAACCACACAGCATGGACAGTGATGGAGAGAGCTGTGGGGGCCTGGTCAGCCTGGGCGTTCCCAGGTGGACAAATCTGGATACAGACCCTGTAGAGGGCACTTACCTCCAGAGATTTCTTCTCTGTTTTGGTCCCACTAACGGGAAATCCATCCTCGGTGCACAATGAAAAGGACTGAAAGCCTGGGACCTCTTATCCACACCGTGAAAGCAAGCCCGAGACTCCCAGACCCTCGCCTTCCCCTCGGAGAAATGTGACCAGAGGCCTCCACGGAAACGGCCGTTCACGCTCACTGTTGAACAAATAATCGGAATCCTCTTTCTCATCAAAGGTATGAAATGTCATGACGGGTCAGACCCAAGTCGAAGAGGTTTCTACCATGTGAAGAATGAAATTACTTTCTGAGAAAGAGACTCTAAATGCTCGTCTCTGGAACTGTGGTCTTGGTATTATAAGTACACTCTTTTAGACAAAGACCCTATGCACAACCTGCCCTGCACCGGAGACAGGGCTTCACCAGGACACGGGGAGCAGCCAAGGCAAGGGACGGCCTCTCTGGCCGGCCTCACAGACAACCTGTCCTGTGCCCTCCCATTTCCCCAGGGCTCGCTCCCCCTGGGTGCCTCCAGATGCGTTTATGCACGTGCACTTCCACCTCCTGGAACAGGTAACAGCTTTCCTAGTAGAATCCAAGGTAAGAAAGTCAATCCTACTCTAAAAATTGCCAATTAGTCCTAACTGGTTTGGCTCAGTGGATAGAGCGTTGGCCTTCGGACTGAAAGGTCCCAGGTTCGATTCCGGTCAAAGGCATGTACCTTGGTTGCGGGCACATCCCCAGTTGGGGGGGAGGCGGGCAGGAGGCAGCTGATCGATGTTTCTCTCTCATCGATGTTTCTAACTCTCTATCCTTCTCCCTTCCTCTCTGTAAAAAATCAATAAAATATATATTTTTTAAATTGGCAATTAGAGCTCTGCTGTGGACAGCACCTCCTGCTGGGGGCTAGGTCAAGGCTTTCCCCAGGAGGCTGGGAGTGACCTGCTCTTTTTAACCTCACCACGTGGCAGGACTGGGATGCAGGAGAGAGGGTTGACATCCATGTTCAGTTCATAGGAAAAGCCAGAAGTCCCACAGTGTGGGAGAAGCCATTTCTCTTGGCTCCATCCTGACCTTCCCTAGCGTAGTGATCTGCTCTTGTCACTGCAGCACCGTAACCCAGGTTGGGGTGCCGTGTACACAGAAGCGGGTAAGCTCTCCTCCTCTGGGATCTTCTGCCAGCAGGTTCTGTACCGAAGCATGTCTGTCCATAAGCCTTTCTCCCGGCCCCAGCCTGTGTCCCAGTCCTCAGCATACACAGTACCTACATTTTCTCCTTGGAGTCTAGGCACACCTGGACTTGCTCTGCCCAGGCTCCTACCAAACCTGGAAGTCGTGCTTTCCAGCCACTGCTTGTGCCTCCAAAGAAAGGGGCCTGTGGCATTCTTGGACAAACTCACACAAGAGATGTTCAGGTCAACCCTCCAGGCCATCGATGGACATAGAGCAACTGCTCAGCCCCACCTCAGCCGTGTGGGATTTTCCCATCACCCTCCCCACCCACTACCCTCCAGACCAGGACCACAGGGCAGCCCTGAGCAGGGCCCCACCTTGTCCCTCAGCTCCTTCGCCCCTGCCCTGAAGGGCCTTGGAGTGCCCCTGCTAAGAGGTACGTGCCCTCAGGAGTACCACCACCTGTCGGCTCACCGCTCGCCCCTGTGTGGTGTCAGGAAATGGGGGTCAGGGTTAAAATAAAGGGCACAATGGGACTCCTGTCACAAGCCAAACAAAAACCAAATCAACACCGAAACCAGCGAGAAGCAGTGAGAAGCCACTGCTGGGCTTGGCCAAGGAATCTGTTTTTAAGCCGAGAGAAATAAATATTTCAAACAAAAGACCGGTCAGAATCAGTGTTTGCTGCCTCAGTCCCAGAACCTCGCAGCTGGAAAGGGAAGCCCAGGGGTGAGGCGCGTCCCAGGAGCCAGGAGTGCAGAGCCACGCTCTCCCCGGCCAGCCCAGCAGCTGCCTTCCTCTCCTCTCTGCTGGGCTGGGATGGTGGTGCTGCTGGAACCTCGTGGGCAAGTATAAATGTCTTCCCTTGATTAATAAAAATGGGAAGATAGTTATTTTTGAAAGAATGCTTTTCATTTGCTAGAGGAAATCTTTCAAAGCCTGGGGTCCATGAAGGCACACCAAGGGGGATGCTCTACAGTGAAAGAGGGCTAGACATCGAACCCTTCCGAAGCCCTCACACTGGCCACCCACCAAGATACACCATTTCCGCTGGCAGAACATTGACTGGGGGCGAGGACACACAGGCGACTGTGAAACTAGAATCTATTTTATCGAATGAGCCTTTCACAAAGAAAACGCACCCCCTTTGAGTCCATTCTCAGTCGGTTAGATGTCCTCACCCTGGGCACAGTGCTTTCCGGCACTGGGTCAATGTCATTGCCAAGGCCCAGGTGCCTGCGTGAAGGCCAAGCTCCCCAACCTATCTGCTTTTCCCCAGTGGACACCGGTTTCCGTTATTCAGCCCTTTCCCGGAAGACTGCCCACCTTACCTTGGGGAGCCATGGGGGCAGTCCCAGGACGACTATTGAGGTGAGGTGGCCCTGACCCTTGAGCTCCCTGTGGCACCCCGACTTACCCAGGCGTGTTCTCCAGCCATAAAGTAAAGAGTCCTCTGGTGGCACGAGTAGAAGGTCTTTCCTGACTCTCCGCCTTACTGCTGGGTGTGCTGTGTGGGAGTGGCCTTACCTCGTGGGACAGGTAGAAGGCTGCAATGCCTAAAGGCCAGAAGCAGCAGAGCATGGAGAAGACGCTGAGGCCCAGGTGGTCCCGGGGGGGCATCATGAGAAAGTTGTCCTCGCTCTCTGTATCACTGGAGTAGTTGCTCTGCAAGAGAGAAAGTGGGGATGAAGAGTGTTAGTAAAGGAACCACTCTTCGATGCCCTCTGAATCTGGAGGTGGAGCCTGGCCCCCGGGAACGTCACTGTTGTTGATATTGCCTGCAAGTGCTACCCCTCAAAAGGAAGTGCCCAGCCAAGGGAACTCTTACCAAGAACAGGAAGAGAAAAATTGCAGGCACAAGGTTTTGGGTCATTCCACAGATGACAAAACCCTGTAGGAGTCCATTACTCACAGATCTTTGGGACGAGGGCTGGGCAGTGGGGGTAAAGGTCTACTCTACAGAGGATAGAACTGGCTACTCTCAGAAGGACACATTCTGTGGATTCCACTCTTTATTCTGACAAGGGGGATTTCTATTTATTTATCTATTTTATTCATTTTTTAAAAAGAATAGCTTATTGACTTTTAGAGAGAGTGGAAGGGGAGAGAGAGGGAAAGAGAGAAACATCGATGTGAGAGCGCAACATGGGTGGCTGCCTCCTGCATACCCCCTACTGGGGATCGAGCCTGCAACCTGGGCATGTGCCCTGACTCGGAATCAAACCAACAATTTCCTGGTGCAGGGACTACGCCCAACCAACTGAGCCACACCTGCCAGGGCTGAGACAGAGGGATTTTTAAAAAGTAGCTCGGCCAATTCCACCACTGATCAAAGCTCCCTGCAGAGGGCGCACTGGAGCGGAGCTCGAGGATGCGAAAGGGCAGTGAATTTGTGGCAGGATAGTAAGAAACTAGGGAAATCCCTGGGCATGTGGAATGGGGAAACTGAGACAAGCAAATTAAACAGGCCAAACAGTTTGAGCAGCTTGCAGCCAGCTTGTGAATCACAAGACCTTATCTTCCCCAACCAAGGACACTGGAGAACAAATGGTTTATACCTCTCCTCCCTAACCAGAGAACACATAGCTCAAATCACCCTGGCCTGGGAAAATAGAGAACAAAGACCCAATTAATGTTACTTGTGCCAGCCGGACCCAAGGACAGACGAAGTTGGGGAACAAATAACAAAAACCCCATTAAAGCCAGACAGACCTAAGGTAAAAGGACAACAGTAAAACACACCAAAGAATAACCCCAAATTCCCCAATATACTCATTTTGATACTTCAGCATATTAAAAATGCACCTGGAAAGCTGATGAATATTCTGCTGAAACCCTCCCCTAAGAATCTCACCTGCAGAAAAAAAGGGGGGGGGATAAAAAGCCCCCAGAACAAAGAATCAGTGTGGCACCTATGCCCCTTCTCCGGCACGAACATTTGATTTCTTCCTAAACTCTAAGGGTCCCCATGAGACTTGCAACCAGGGAGCAGTGGGCAGGTGAAGCCTGACCTGGGCTCACCCCTGATCCTGTCTCCAAGGCCCCCTTTCTCTAACTTCCCAGTGAGCTGAAGCAGCCCCGCCTTGGCTCAGTTCTTTCCTGTAACATTCTAGAGCCAGAGCAGAGCACCCCCTAGGCTCTCCCCTGCTGCTGCTTCTACCCCAATTCCTTCCCTGTTTCACTGTCCCCCGCTGTAGTAAATGTACCCTCAAACCATCTGGGCTCCTGTTGTGACATCTTTCCTACACGAAGTCAAGAACCCACTCAGTACAGGCCAGCTTGAGGCAGAGCTGCTTTGGGTCGGTCCTTACCTGGGAATCATGTCAAGGGGCTTCCACTCCTACATGTCCAGCGAGAGGATGCTTGTGTCCCAGTTAGTTATCCCACGGGCTGGGCCCCCACGACACATTTTCTCTCCTCATCAGTATATGGCACACTCAGGCCGATTCATCCCAAACGGGGGCCACTCTCCGTGGTGATTTTAGAGAGATGGAGTCCCATTTTACTAAAGCTTTTGTCAGCTGCAGGAGGTTGTTAAACGTGTGCCTCCCTGGTGCAGGCTGGAGATATGTAGGACCTCCGCAGTGCATGCTGGCCTTAGGCGGCTTCAGAGGCAGGCGCTCACCTAAGGTACCAAATACGCAGGTGGGTGCACTGTATGAGCCTAACACCTGTGTGGGTGCCATGGCCACCAGCACCCCCCAGCAATGCCCCCTCTTGTCTCCCCTGCCTTCCCACGCAGACACCGATGAAGCCCACAGGTGCCGACGATGTCCTTTCCTATTTTGTTAATTAAAATGCACGTGAAATGCCCACCTGAGCCTCTCATCAGCATGCAGACAGCAGCAGTGTTTTGGTGAAACGGTGGAAGCTTCCTGTTAGGACTTCTCTTGTCTCGTTGAGAAAACAGGCAAAGTCTGACGGGCTCACTCAAACCACAAACAAGGACCTTGTCTGGAGGGCCCTGTGATGGAAGTGGGTGATGCACGGTCTATGCAGCAGCTGTCCCCCCAGCCCTGCAGGGCGGTGGCTTTGAGGACCAGCCCCTTCCTGCCGGGGGCACTGCCCCTTCTCAGGTGAGTCACAAGCACTGCTGGGTTTGGGACCACACAGCATATGCCCCCCCAGAGCTGTGCCTGAAATTTACATCCTTTTACTCTGCAGCATCACCTCCCAGATGGTCTCCCCAACAATAGAGGGAAATGAAAATTACTCCCTTTATGCCTGTCAGAGACGAGAACTAAACAGCTTTCAGGGATGCATAATTCATGGGTGAGACTCATGGGTGGATGAGGGCTGCCTGGGTGTGCTGCCAGAGGGGTAGATGAGTGGGGACCCTCCACTATTTGTGGGGTTCTTGGGGCGCGGCTGAAATGGGAATTTTCAGAAGCCCCCACGGGAGGATGAGGTGGCAGAAGATTTCATTGGTGTAGAGTTACATCTCTCAGGTTCCAATGTCCCATTTCCCCCAAGCCAGTCCAGGAAGAGGGGCAGCTGGGAGTTCCGTAGAGGCAGAAAGAGGGCCAGTGTCCAGAGTTTCCATCCTCCGGAAATTCTGTTACTTTGTTATGGGGTGAGGCCACAACATTAGTAACAAAGAAACATAAGGATGAGGCCCAGAAATCAGGATTTTAAAAAGATTCCTGGGTGATTCTAATGTGCAGCCAAGGTTGAGAACGACTGGTCTAGTCCCTTCCCCCATGGATTAGCGGGGAATAGACTTGGAGAGTGTTAAATGCAGCTTTTTGGCAAAGCTATGTAAGTGGCATGCCTATACTATCTGGTCTCCTCTTTCACTCCTTTCCTGTTAAATAATAACCAGGTTATTACAATGGTATCAGGTGGAGATGCACATGTGCCAGCCCCTGGGAAGTTGAAATCTCTTATTTGAATGGAGGCTGTGCAGTGCTGCTGAGCAGAGTCCGAGTATCTTCATGGTCCTTCCTCTCCGCAGCCGTGTCAACCCCAGGGTCTCCAGGCCCTCATCTGGGAACGAGGGACCGAGTGCCGAGCTGGGTTGGAAAGGCTGAGCTGCACGTTCTGGGAAGGGAAGAGCCTACAGTGACCGTCCCAGGTTGAGTGAATCCCAAGAGCCTCTGCGTGAGGTGGAGGGGCAGGACTGAAAGGACAGCCTCTTCTGACCCTCAGCTCAGTCCCTGAGTTCATGAACTTCATGCTGGCGGGTCCAGGTGCTGCTCACGGTGTCCTCACACGGGTACAGCAACTCTGTCTGTGGATATTTGGTTCGTGTTTTTGATTGTTTGTTTTTTGCATGTTTTTAAAAATGATTTTTGTTTTTAGTTCACAAAGAGTTTTATATACAGTACCTGAGTTGGCTGGATTCTAACGGCAACTCTGAAAATAGCTGTTGTTCCTGTCTTTACTTTTATTTCTGTTTAACAAAGGACAGAGCTGGACTCCGAGAAACTGAAATCTTTCCAAATCACAGAACCACCCAGCCAGTGGCTGCTCAGTCCAGATTATGCTGTGTTTGGACATCAACCAAAAACGTGGCTATGAATAAACCCCACTTTACCTCAGTTGCTTCTTGTCCAAAGATAAGGTATCTCCTCTGACCAAGGATTCTGATGACTTTACTTTATTTCTTTTTTAAAAAAATATATCTTTATTGATTTCAGAGAGAAAAGGAGAGGGAGAGAGAGAGAGAAACATCAATGATGAGAGAAAATCATTGATCGGCTGCCTCCTGCACACCCCACACTGGGGAGCAAGCCCACAACGTGGGCATGTGCCCTGACTGGGAATCGAACCGTGACCTGGTCCATAGGTCGACACTCAATCACTGAGCCAACCGGCTGGGCATGACTTAACTTCTTGACTGGCCTGTTTCATGGTGGTGACATGAAGGCCAGTGGTGATAGTGTCCAGTTGAGAGCTTTCTCAATCAAATGGCCAGGGTGTGTGAACTGCTGCCCCAGGCCACACAGGCAGCAGCAGCATCGACTTCTGCCTTTGGAAACTGCTCAGAATGACACCGCTATACCCATGAAGCAAAGAATTAGACTTCAGGGGACTCCCCCAAAATCTTCACAGATTTTCATTTAGAAGCATAAGGGAAGCACACTACAAATTACCAAGTTGTGGCTACATGGCACCAGAACAATTAGTCAATCTTGACTAAAATAGATTTTAAAATAGATTCAGACAAATTACAGGGTAGACAGAACAGCCCAGCTCTTTTCTTGTTCTTTCTTCCATTAGTAGGTTATAAGTGGCTGTGGGCATCGTGCCACCAAACAGCAAGGAGAGGAAACGAGGCCGCGTGCAAGAGGCTATGTACACACCAATAAACCAAATAAAGAAAATATGCATAACTACCAACACCAACACATTCATCACCCACAGCAGCTGTTTCTAAAATTCCTCCTCATGGGTTGTTGGATTGGAATAGCTGCGACGCAGATTGAAAGTAATTTAATGGAGGTGACAGTCCACCTGAAGATCCTCCCTTTTGAGCTAACCCTTTGCAGGAAGCAAATGCTACAAAAAGGTAGAGAAAGGAAGGAGCCGCTGGGTCCCTCACTGGTGCCCTGCTGATCTGGCTGCTCCCCCCACCATCTGCCCACTCTCTATTCCATTTTTGTTGCCTCCACTCAGTGGAATGGCTTTTACTCAGCTTGGGGTTTTCTTCCTTGGTGTATTTT